AAACATTCTCAGCTTCCCGGGAAGCATACAGTGCAAGCAGATGATTAAGTGCTCAAACACTAACAAACTGACAATATATTTCGCTGTCTATAGCCAGGTACCCATTCCCACCTGGGTGAAGTGGGGAAAATTCGTGTAAAGTGCCTTTCCCAAGGACACAACGTCGGGCCCCTGACGGGATTCGAACCCACAACCTTACAGTTGCGAGTCCGAGAGCCTAACTATTAGGCCACGACGCTACAAATATTTGTAGACTACATGTACACAATATAATTGTTTGAAATGATGCAGTTTAACGTCTATCTCCGATTGTGACATACTGGAGTGAAGAGAGCCTCGAAGATTCCCCACCATACAACTACATGTATTACAACCCACGTTCATCAAGAACACTACACCACATTGGGGATTCGAATTAGAGCCACCCGCATCCCAGTGCGATACCAACTGAGCAAAGGCATGCGTAAGATTTTGAAAAATCAATGGGCAAACGCTGCAGAAATAGATCTAAGTACGTACCAGTATCAGTACCATAGTACATGTAATAATAGTAGGCTACTGTACCAAATACATTGTGCAAATTAGTACAATAAATAAGATAGACAAAAATCGGAACGCATTACATGTATGTATATTCATTAAAATCATACTTATACAAAGTCACATCAGATGGTAGTAACTTTGTTCTGGTTGTGATTAAAAGCTCCCCGTCAACGCCAAATGATATTTCGATTGTGAATGAGACAGTACTACATAATAAAAATGTATTTATAATAATAGAGTTACATGTATTATTTTAACACCCACCTACTGTCATAGAACCAAGATTGCATCCAATACCCGAGAAAGCTTGTGGTAGGAAAAAAAACCCTCAAAATGACCTTACGGGGGCACGGGAAAGGAGAGGGGGATTGAGGGGGAATGACCAATGAATGAGTAGGACTACCAATAGGCCTACCATACCGAGATGACGAGTTGAAGGTGAACCTTCAAAGGTGTGTTAATTAAGCTGTCCCCCGCGGTTTTATTTAAAAAATAAATTCTGAAATTATGCAAACTGGGCCCCAAAATGTGAAATTATGCGATTCTGTTAACTTAAAAAAACAATGATAAAGGAAAATAATCAGAAATCAGGCAGAAAAAAGAATCAAATTTTGCTTAAATTATGGGGTGTGCATAAAACCCAGGGGACAGATTAAGTAAGATACTAACTAAAACACATCGGTGAACTATTTAAAAGGGAACGGTTGATTTAACAGGTTTCTCCATTTCAAATAGCCAAAATACACCGTGAAACAAGTGGCCTAGGGTTTACAGATCGAAGTGCAAGAAAATCAGTGAAGAAATGTCTCCGCTCACCTCTCCCGCCGTGCCTGTTGCGGCGTGCATAAAAGCCTTTGAAAAGACAGGCCCGGGGCAGACCACTGTGACGTCTATGTTGTGCTCGCCCATCTCTGTTCTCAGGCACTCAAAGTATCCCTGAAGAGAAAAAAGGTAGGCAGGACTATAATAATAGCTTTGTGTGTGTGTGTGTGTGTGTGTGTATGTATATATATAT